CTTCAAAGCTGTGGTTTTGAAGCTAAATTCAAGGTGGCCTGAGACCACGGTTTACTGCCCTGAAACACTCTGTTCAGGCCACCTTGAAAAGAAAGGTGTAGTTGGCACCTTGCTTGCAGCTACCAGGTATAGTACTTCAAGTTCCCTTTCCGTCAACCGCTCGATAGCCTCTACACACGCACAGCAATCCACAGCTTTGAAGTCTCATTCGTGCTTTGAACTTGTGTAGGTGTGTAAGAGGTCTCACGGCCGCCTCCACCTGGCAAATGCCAAGCGGAGCTGCCGTAGAGAAATGAAAGAAAATGGAGTGGGATGGTGTCTAGGGTGCAGACCTACCTTTCTATCCTATGCTTCGACGCGCAGTTCTCGAGAAAGGGAAGCGCTGGCTTTCGTTTTGCAGCTTCTCAGGTGATATTATGAAAACCTAAGGATTAGATTTTGGGTCTTGCATCATTCAACAGATTGAAATATACCCTCCTAGAATCACGATGGCCCCTGGAAGGACAATCATTCCTTATACAAACAGTTGATTGTCCTCTTCAAAAATTTGGAGGCAGGGTAAACTGTTGAGGAGAACAACTCCTTCCTTACTACCTACCAGAATGGTTGTACATCTCACTGCGTATTCATCCCTGCACTGCAGACTAACATGGACCGTGAACAATCAACTATTCTCATGAAACTTATTTACCACCAGGTGGTCTTCAGGGTCCATGTGAAGCTGGTGAAGCTGCAGGAGAGTATTCCCTTGGGTTGCTTAGTCGGGCCAGTCTCACAGATATACAGCATTACCATAATGGTAACAAGACGGCACTGACCACCGTGGCACTGACCTCACCATGGTTCTAACCATCCACAGGACTGGAACAGTTACTACATATGTTTCCCATGAGTTCATGACCCATCCCTGCTGGCGTAACTTGCCTCTTCCAGTCCCATGGATGCCATGGCTGGTCTGGGATGCTTCAGAGTACCTCTAAAACCCATGGCACTGACCACCTCACCACGCAACCCCCACGCATTGGCTGTGGCAGGTCGGGTGGCTGTGGCCGCCGTGGCGCCGGCGGCGTGGCTGGAGATCCTGCAGTTTCTAGGCGCTTCAGCGGCACGGATTAGAGACCGTTTAAAAGTTGAACTGGAATGGAACAGAACTTAGGTTATTTGATGTTTTTTGCGACTGCCAGCGACTGCCCCTCCGACTAGTAGAGAGTGTTGATACGATAAAACATAAAATTCGAACGGCATCACAGGAGATCACAGGCACATTTTGTTGAACGAGAACATCTACCAATTTGCTGCCTGTCCGTGGGTTCAATACCATCCCCTACCCGTCCACAGGCCTTGTATTCCATGAACGCTAGCTCCAGAAGCTCTCACAGAAGTCCAATATGACAACAATACACTGCGTGGATTTTTTTGGGGCCTGTGAACCCTAAGTGAGCTCATCAAGATTAAGATATTCTTATTCCTAAGTCCTGCCCTATTTGATGGTTTGTTTCCACATCGGCCAAAAAACTACGCGTTTTGGGGGGTCCATAGTACAGCCCTGGTTGGGCCAAGAACCACTGATCACACGTCGCGCAGGCGAAGAAGATTTTGACGATTTGGCAGATGGTCAGGTGGGAGCCGCACGACGTTTCAGTTCAGCTTCTCCCAGTCTTGGTGCTCGAACTAGAAACCTAAATTGAAGGCGGGGTGGAAAAGCAGATACAGTATGTACAGTAGTTATCTTTATATCTACACTGTATAAATATAGACATATTAGGTCAAACTGGGGAGGTCAAAAACTGGGGCACCACTTTAACCGAATCATGATCGACCAGGAAAAGGGTGGGGGGTTGGTCGGCTCACGAGAATTCCAGTCCGTGGGCTTTGGATGGTGAAATTATACTTGAAGTAACAGGCAGAAGTTTTCAAAGCGGAACATGATTTTGATGTATGTGGATGTACTGTGTGTGGTAACATCGCACCAGTCACCAAGAAAACGTGACGGTGTTGTCAACATAAAAGAGCTAAGGGATGGGTAAATAGACAATGCATATGACATGCTCATTCAGATTCAAACAAAATGGGTCTCTCCTCCCGTGCAAAGCTGCAGACACTGTGAACATGCCAGCATGGCGTCGCGTCTGCTTGCACAGCTTCCACCCTGCTTTCGATGTGTCGGGTTGGAGCTATGTCCAACTACAAGGGAGAGCTACTGGTGACACACATCCATTCGGACTCCAAGTGGCTCAGAGTGGCCTCCAAGTCATGGCACGTCTGGGGCCAATCCGCCAATAAAGCACGTTCACCATCCGTTTCTTCCCACGTCTGGGTTTGGAGAGCGTCACAAGCAGAACGAATGTCTAAACTATGTGATCTCCAAAACATCAGGGTCAAGCTAGACCTCTAATACATACAGTTTGCATACTTGCTACCAAATGAAGTGGTTCCTGAGGAATGCTCACTTGCTAGCAGCAAGAATGAATCTATGGTTTGCCTCGTTGGAGCAGTTCCAGTAGTGCAATTTACTGTCGAAACCAACTACCCTAGAAGGAGATCACTCAGACATTGAATTAGGGTTCATTCATCCTGGTAGTATAGGCAATGCACACCAACTTTGATGCTTATAATATCTTATGTTCTTATATAATCAAGATCGTCGAGCCAGCCTTTTTTGGACGCGATCCATGTTGGTTCGGTTTTCATGATGTTTCACGGTGTTCTTCATTCACAACGTTCACATCACAAGCCAGGTCGTTGCAGTCCTCCCTCGAGATGTCGCATGGACATTGAAGTCCAATGGTATGGGCAATTAGGGGCGCTGGTGCAGCCGGGCGCTGGTGCAGCCAGGTATACGTTTGGGTGCCAGGGAACTCCCAGAAAAACACCGGTCAAAAGGGCAACATCTGTGCGTGACAGAATGTCAAAAGGGAAAGAATTTGTACAGGATGGTCCAATTCTTTTGATGGTCTATTGATGGTTTATTGATGGTCTATATATTGATGGTCCAATCTTTCTTAGTTCAAACATGTTGACCGTAGTGCCACCTATGGCTCCCGAAGACCGACATGGACCCGGGTCGGTCGAATGGCACCCGGGTCGTCCGAGTCCTGTCTTCCTCTAGCTGGCTGCAGCAGTGGTGAAGCAGGATCTGTGTGAATCTTCCAGGGTGTAATGCCATGTGTGGCAATTCAATCTTTTCAGGTTCTTCATTGGTTGCTGGTCTACTTCAAATTTGAACTGCTGTTGGCATGATGCCGTGTTTTGGGCACGGGCACGGTGGCCATGAAATAGCTGAGACCGTATGCATGTATGCTGTATGTGTATACAGATATATATATATAATACTAGTGTGTATATATATTTAATGTAGTATCCATGCTGGGTGTATGAGAATTCTTATGTTGTATGGTGTCATGTACCCGCGCTATGTTCTGTCATGCAATCTTCCAGCACGGTATGGCCTCTAAAAAGGCCACCGTTTTCACATGTACCACGGAAGTGAAACACCCAGTTCCTCTGTGAAGCACTCAGGACTATGATGCGCTGGTGCGTTTGGGTCCGTTGAACTTCCTCTTCCATTCTGCAGACGTGCACCGCAGCGAACCTCACATACCGCAGGAGAGCTTCGCTCAGAACGAGGCGTTCGGTGCGCCTCGTCTCTTCCTCGGTGCGACACGTTCCACGACTTCACTCACGTTCGCAGTGTATGTGCCGCGAAGTTTGCGAGATGAGATCCTCCACATCTCTTTGTGGTGAAGCTTCTCAGAACGGAATTCCCAACAACTTGTGGCTTGCGGAGAAGACTATGACGTCCGTGTGAAGAACACACGACAGTGCTCCGTTCGATCCAGCTGTGCAGACGGGGTTTCGTGTGGAGCCCGGAGGAGAACCCTGTGTTGGCTGTTGGAATCTGTGCTGTCGAAGTTCCAGAAGTTTCGTTCGCGAAAGTTCCAGAAGTTCAGCACATCAAATTGCAGGTCTGAATGGGTGGGGACCAGCTTCAATTTCCCTGTGGTTTTTGTTGGTCCAACGAACGAGAAAAGATGTTTCACAAGCGCGACAAGTCCGTCCACATGTCCACTATGTATTGGGTGATCGTTTCCATCGGTTACCGTTATTTTTCACTGTTCGCCGCACTGCAGGAGCTTGAGCAGCCACTGGACCCACCAGATGTCACGACGGATGAGCTGCCGACCACATCCGTGGCTCCGCTGTCGACCGCTCGGCCGGAGCGGCCGTTCCGGCGGGCGCCAGCAAGAGCCAAACCCAAAGCGACAGGGTGAGAAAAGATGTCCTGGGCGAGGAGCCATGCTTGTTTTTTTGATGGTTCCTGATGATGTTTAAGTTTAGTGACCCAACCACCTTCTCTTCTGCGTAGCAAGAGAAGTTTTAACTAAATTTGTCCGCTAAAGCCAATCTTCTCAATGTTCAGATTCCCCACGTGCTGAACCTGCATCGCTTGTTCATGTTGAAGACACTGCTCTCCCTCCAGGCAGTGTCGCGCGTGGTGGAAGATACCAGTTCTGCCATCCAAAAGGAGGCGCAGAGCTTGTCACACTGAGCAAGATCGGACGAACGCCTACTGTATGTTTTTGTGTGTGCAGGATGAATGTATATTGTAGACAACCAGGCTGTAGAAATCACATCCTTGGTGTTGCATGCTTTGTGTTTGGCATCCTCAACATCACTTGACATTGACAGGGGTTGAAACAAACTGAAGGGATTACTCTGAAAAAGCCCTTTGCCACCCTGTGCCAAATTGGACCATCCGTCTGTCTTTCGGGCACATGCTCCGTCACGTGACAGCGCGCGGTAGGCAGAGGTGATCCGAGAGACTGCGGAAGCCCAGAAGCAGCCTCCTGCCGTGGAGGGGGGAGCGGTAGGGGATCTTCGAGCTTCCAGGCGGATTTCCGGTGATCCCTTTGGAACATCGGTGAAGCAGTGAACTTCCGGACGCATGACAAAGCCAGCGAAACAGAGCCACGGCACCACTAGCAAGGGGGTATCAATGAATTCACGCGCCGGAGCCCTGAAGATTGGAACCTTCTACTCTTTTTGATCCTATTTGTTTGGTGATGTGATGGAGGAGGATTACTAAGACTGTACAGTGGGATGCTGGGACGATGGTTGCTTCATGCTGACATGATTTGTGCTCATCCGCAGGCGGTGTCTTTTTCTCGATAACTGTACAGAAGGTGCCAGCTCTTTCAGGTCAACAAAGGGCTGAAAGGTTATAGAATTGTATGAACTAGATATTACATTATATTATATACATTGAAGTATAGTATAGCATATGTTATTTTTCCCTGGAACAACATCTCCAACGGGAATGGGTGACATCAGCCAGTATGTTTCATATACATAAAATAGATATTCTTATATATAGAATGTGAATAGCCACGTGATTTGATGTATGTGTTCTATGATGTTCTATGTGTTGGGTGGTTTATCCAAAAGGATTCCCTGGTGCCCCTTGCCGACAGCGGTCCCTTGTGCCCTCCATCGACCCCAACGATCCGATCCGAGGCTCTTCGAGCGCCTCCGCCAGGGCGACGAAGCGCAGCAGGCGCGGCGGAAGGAGGAGGCGCTGGGTTTCAGGTGAGGAGTGAAGATCGTGAAGTTGATGGGTCCAAGCAGGTCTAACAATGTCAAACATGTGCAGGTCGTCTATCAGTCTATCATTTAGATTCAGTTTAGTCAGGTTTGGAATAGGACCGATCATCCAAAGATCTGCAAACAGCTTCTTTTGAGTCTTCCTCACGTTGCCTCAGCTGCCTCAATGTCCAGCTACCATTTTCCAGTTTCGCTCGTCATTACGAGTCTAACATCCTCCAGGCTCTTGGTGGTCGATGTGAACATCTGGAGAAACGCCTCTCCGAGCAGGAGCAGAGTGGGGGGCAGCTCTCGGTGACGGGGGGTTGGAGTCTTCCACAACAGACGACGATGAGGTTCGACCTCGATGAATCAACATGATTCAGAAGACCCCAATGATGTCCTTTAGATGGGGTTCCATGTACACCACCGAACTTGGGGATTGTGCCATCCACTCTGAAACCATTGTAAGTCTTGTGGGTTTAAGTTTGGCCTCACGATGCCTCACTTAACCCTTGCAACTGGACTCCACATCCTCACAGCCACACACGCACCAAATTGGAACCGGGTGTTGGAACTCAAGCCGGGACCCTCCAGAGGAACCTCGAAACAGTTGCAACTTCGAAACGTCGCTTCTATGGCTCTTCGAAAGCGTTCTGAAATCTGCTCTCAAGCCAGGACTGCCAGTGCCATCGAACAATTGAAACCATTGTAATGAATTGGACCTAGCACACCACCAGGACGTGGCAGGACAAAGCCTTCCAGCATTCCTGCCTGTTACAACAAAGGATCAGAACCCTGAGCATTTCAGGATAAGAGTAATTGTCCAGTCATGTCCAATCCCTTTGCCAGGTAGATTCAATTTCCGGTGGCACCCATTTTTTTTTGTTGGATCCCGCGGCAGATTTGACTCCCCAGCTCCCCGAGGAGTCTCTTCACCGAGAGACTAAGGAGTTGGCCACTCGGGCCATGGATGCCGTCCCCAACTTGGAGGCGCCACCCCTGGGGTCTGGAGGCCTCCACCCCTGGGGTTTGGAGGCCTCAGGTCGGGGTCTGGAGGTCTGGAGGCCTTCCCCAACTTGGTAGGGCCTCAGGCCAATGCAGTTTGGAGGCCTTCACCCCTACCCCAGCTTCAGGCCTTGGAGGGCCATAATGTTGGATCCTGATTAGTAAATGGGTCCTCTATAATGCTAATTTTTCCAAATTTATTCAGACCCCCATGTTCGAAAAATGGTTCCTGAATAATGCTAAGTTTTTTTTGGGCCCTAAACTTTTAAATTGGAAACCTAATTATTAAGGGTTTGAATTCCTTCTGAGGCCAATGATTATGATTCATTAGCTGATATAGCTTTCTCTAGGTTTCTTCAAAACTGACAGCTGACCAAAACCACCAATTCCTAATTAGACCCTTTATAAAACATTGCTCCTAAACAAATTTTCAAGGTAGTAGACCAGGAAGGCACCTGATCCTCAATAATAGATTTGTTTTTGGGTTCTCAATTGTGAAAAGTGTTTCCACTGGAAAAAAAATGCTCATGGAATCTTCCTTTCCTTAGCTCCTGAGGCCAATGATTATGATTCATTAGCTGATATAGTTTTCTCTAGGTTTCTTCAAAACTGACAGCTTTCTCACAGGAATTCTCACAGGAATTCTCACAGGAATCCAGATTTGTTTTGGTGATAGTTTTTATAGAGGGTCCCCTGTTTGTTTGAAGGGGGGGGGCCTATTTACTAATCAGAATCCAACATTAGGCGAGGCCATGGGGGTCAATGGCACCTCAGTTCCACCTGACGTGTGTTTCGAAAAGAGCCAATCAGGTCGAGCAAGAGCTACTAAAGACCTTTTCTTGGGACCCTGGCATCACCTTTGGGACGGGCCCCGTCGTTCAACCAGTTGGACACACAGGGTTTCCAGAAAGACATTGCCAATGCCGGACCGTGGATGTTCCAGTCAAATGGTGAGCATCGGCAATCCCTCCCTTGCATCCTCAGTCTGACGCCGCTGTGTTCCTGGGACCCTGCAACCAGGTACACTCCCTGAACTCGGTGGATGGAACACGGCCCAACTCGTTCGGATGACTGGCCCTGAAGCAGGTGGTGCCATCCACGATCATCCACGATTCTTTCGGGACGAGCACAGGCGATGAGCCTGGACCGCTTGGGCGAATTGGAGCTCCAGCTACAGCGTTTGCAGGGGGACGCAGGGACCGGGACGGGACCGCAGGGAGGGAGCGCAGGGAGAGGTATATTACCAGTATTTCGTGAATTTAGGGTCATCTCAACCTGAGAGTATATTGCAGATTGCAAGAAAAATTGGAAAAGTCTTTGCAGTGCGATGTTGTCTTGCGTGTTCTTTTTTTTCAGGTGGACCCTACAACATTTCATGGATGCTCAAGTTTCACATTGACCTGGGGTTACAGCTACGGCATGCGCCTAAGAACACCATTTGGAGGGTGGCAACACACCTCATGCTCATGATGAAGATGGAGCTCACAAAGCAGATGGTTTGCATAGCAGCATAGCAACCGCGAGGATGGACATATTCCTACAACACATGGCACAACCGTTCACCCTTGTTGATAGTCAACATCATTACACTCTCCTGTGGTACAGAATTTAGCAAAACTGTATCGCTGATAGCACGATGAGTCGGAGGCTTGCACTGTTGGTTGTACATGGTTTTCTCACTGCCCAGGAATCCTGCCAAAACATCAAACACTATTACTAGCGAGTAGTAACTGCAGGAGTTGCTCATTATGTCTCCACTAGTCAGCAAGGACCATTTTGCCCATTGATGTTGCTGTGTGCACTCACAATCACATACATATATCGAGCCACTTGACAATTGAGTGAGGAATTATAGTTATATTCAAACTCATTTGTTGTGAGGGATTCCTCAGGACTCTTCCGCCGAAAGCGCAGAATTGACGAGGCAGCAAAGCCATTTGCAGCGACAGGCGCGGGGGTTGGGTATGTGGGAGACTTCTGTGCAGGCTCGGCACATTACACGGTGATTTCGAGATCCATCATTGGAAGTGGGGTTTTAGAACTGCACAAAAAGTTGGAAAGCAAGACGGATACTCATCTGGAGCATGGTGGGCTAGAAGATACAAGATGTGGTGAAGAATTCCTGGAGTGCCAATCGGTCAAATACGTGGACACCGAGCTGGGCTTGGAGCCGGGCCCCAAAAAACCGATCACCCCGGTCCTTGGAGCCCGCGGACGGGGCGGACGGCTGCTAGGGACGGGTCAACCCAGTAGCATTGTTGGGTTTCTCGCACTGGTGGATGACTAGTTTTTCCAAACAAAATCTGACCCAGACGCGACTAATGGGACTGCCAGTCCGGACTGCCGCCCCAGAAAGACCCCTCTGGCACCACCCCTGGCCTGATCGGCATATATGCCATATGTTCCATGTGTCTGGGTGAAGGGAACAGGATGGATGGAGAAGGCTCGTTTCACCCGTCTTTCTCCGTGGATGGCCGGCTGGTGGTGATGGCTCTGTCAAATTCCTATAAGGTCTAAACTCCGCTCCTCCGGGTGAAACCAACGCGTGAAACAATGGTTGCATCCCCCGGAGGGTTCTCGCAGATTGGTCACCACCTGCCTTCGTCATTCGTGCACAAGTCAGACGAAAATGACGAAAATGACCTTATAGGTTAAGTGACCTGAGAAAGGACCCGGCACCTGGGGTACACAACTGGGATAGTCGAACTAGGGTTCTTGCAACTCAGTCTACTTAGCGACCAGTCCATGGCGAGCAACTGAGTTGCAACCAGTCCTTCACTCCATGGCGACCAGTCCGAGCGAACTGCGTCATCGTGTCAGCCTAGGCCGACAGCCGAGCAGAGGTGGAGGGTTTGGAGGAACGAGTAGTGCTACTCAACTGCGAAGGGAAGGGAAGCGATCATGTCTACTCAGACATGTTCACGTCATTTCACATCCATAGCACTCGCATAGTTGACCGATCAGTTGGGGTGGATTGAGTTCAGGTGTCACTGTAGCTATGCTGATCTATGCTGTACAAGGAGTGTTTGGGAGTGTTCAGACTTGGCAAATGAGGTCCGGTGGGTGTTGTCCCTTCGAGGCCTCTTTTGCAGGCACATGCCTCTGCCTAGGTCGGGCTTCGAGGGACATCAACATCTACAGGAGGCTTTGAAGGGCCTTCAAGAGCAGCAGGCCAGGCTTTGCCATTTACGAATCCTTCCAAATCACTTGATTTCTTGCCAGGTTCGTGGTCTGATGCCAATGGCAGATGCCAATAGATGCCAATGAATGCCAATTGTATGAATGGTCTGATTTCATGTGATTTTCTAAAACGCCATCACGGCCCTCTTCAGATGCCTAACCTCCAGGAGCAGCTGCAGCTCCGCTGCGGTGCGTTGGAAGCACAGCTGCTCGAGCTGCCCAAGGCCCAGGTGCGCCTTCGATCAGTGCGCTGGGTCGGAGTAACCGTGCTGGGCGCAGTTTGCCTGTTTGATGTTTTTTTTTGGTTGGTACATGTGGGTGAGTAATGTGGGTGATATTGACTTACATGGATCGCGTACCGTACTGAGTACTCTTCTCACTCTGACTCACGTTCCATGGAAGTGGACGAAGTACTGACTCTTGTTCGTTTTCAGTGAAATACTAATAAGTACTCTTCCATATAAACGGGGCAACCTGTTCCACTTCCACCATGTGAGGTCTTCGACGAGTGTTTCGTCATACAGCGTGGATGCTCACTCACTGGCTCCATCATGGACATGTCTGAACATCTGAGGATTGGACCAAATCTATGCTTTGGGTCAGTCCCCCCGTGTTTTTGCTTGATTGTAAGGTTCCGGAGGCGGACCTCTCCCCATCTCCCACCCTTCCCATCCCCCACCCTTCGGTTGGTTTCGTCTCACCAGACGATGTTCGCCACACCGACTCGCCTCACCCGGGCAAAGCCACGGGATCCTCGTTTCCAAAGCCATGTGCTTCATGCATTTTGGAGGGCTTAGAGAAAAGAAGAGTTCACCGGGTGTGGGGCCCACCTGTGAAGCCCTATCACAGGATGCTCTATATCTCAGTCTGGTTCCAAGTGATGCATGCTCTGGTTCAACTGTTCCGAACACACTGATGCTCTATCTCACTGTTGTCGCAGTCGCAGTCGCATGTCGCACCCATACGTTTCACCTGTCGCAAAGTGCTAGGTCCACTAAGATACGAAGATGTCTTTACCCAAGAGTCATTTTTTGGGCCTTCCAATCTCGTTGGATGCTAGGTCATGCTAGGTCAGTGGGATATGTGGAAGATTTGCCAGCTAAGGGACCCTTGAAACCACATCAATTCCCAAGATCTTCAAGTCGACTCAACTGCCCAGTGAGGAAGTTCATTGCATCGATTTATACTCCAAACCATGCCACCTGCCGTTCACCTCCACGGACTCTATGTCACCTCGTTCACGCACTTGACCGCGCGCCCGCAGCCCCCGAAACAGGACGGAGCAAGAAGTCCCCGCAAGATCCGCAAGTACTAAAGTCCGGAAAAGGCTGCCTGCAGGTTGCCCGGATACCTCGTATCGTCCCACCAGGAGAAAGCGTTCTTGGAGATGAGCCAACAGGCCGAACGCGCTACGACGCTACGATGCGCGTGCCGACGCGACGTCGCGGCGTTGGCGGAACTGACGAGAGACGACTGGTTGTGCCAAGTATGTCGTCGATAAGGAAACAATTATATAAGGTGTGTCCTATTTACAAGGCCTTTACTAACCATCATCATCCAGTGTTACTGCTACAATAGGATAGACCCAAGATATATAGAGAACAAAGGCCTGATAGGGAAGCTCTCCCCTCGTCAGTTGACCTGAGATCCGGTCTATGAGAGGGAACAATCTCCCGGCAGTGTGGCCGCGCGGCGCCTGGCCAGAAGACCTGCGCCGATCCAGTACTCCTGTGGTTGTATAGACGGTACACCTTGCTTTCCACCGGGCTGGACGCAGCCAGGCAGTGCCTGGGACGTCCGGCACGACCCTCGTCCGCCGGGGCGACGGCAGCGAGGACTCCCAAGTGGCCAAAGATCTTCGAGGTCTCCAAGCACGTCGGGGTGGCCCGAGCGGGGCGCCAGGAGCGGTAGGTAGACCGGCCTCAAAGTCCGGCGATGGCACGGGCATGCCATGGCCATGGGGGCAGCCATGAATTTGACTTATACATCAACAACTTATATCTTTAAATCTATATTCTGTATACATGTAACTTAAGCAATCTAGACTTTGGTTTATACATTTTACTTAAAGATAGTCGATGATAGTTTGAAACCCCATCCATATCCAAGAGAGCGGGTGTGGCTGGGGGAGCACGCACTAGTTCAAGACCATTCAACAACACTGTAAATAGCATGCAACATGTCCAACACTGCGATGAAACCTGGGCAAAACACATTTTGGCATCTTCCTGTGCCCAATCTCAAGCTGCAATATCAATGGTAACAGTTGGCAGCTCCATCTTTGTTTGCCCACTATCGATATGCAATAGGGCACGAATTATCAGCTTGATTTGTTGCTGTCCAATATCAATAATTGCCTGGTCATTTGTATGAGTGTGTTCTCACTCTTAATTTGTTAAACCTGTTTGGTTTGGAATCTTGAAAGGTTGAAGCCGCTCATCACCACGTGCTCATTTGGGTGATTTATATCAGAAATGCAGACTTACACTTCAACACTCTCCCTTCAGCAACTTCGTCCTGATCTCAACCGGCCTTTTTATTGTTCCAATATGTTTTACGTCTTAGGACTGAGTCTTTCTATTCTTCCATGTACGTCTTAAGATCTTCTAAGTATAATTGAGTATCTTTGATATCCTATTTTTTTCCTAGTCTAAACAGGCTTAGACACGTAGGTAATTGACTAATTTGATGTATCGTAGGCAAGAAACAATCCAAACAACACAGACTTAGTTGCCGTATGAGTTATATATATATATAGGTTGGCTGGAGTTGCATTTTTGTTTGATTTTGCCCTCATCTAATCTCAAACATGTTTTTGTTTGCTTGTATTCTCTCTAAATTTTTGTAGGCCTGGTTTGGGCACAATTCAAGTAACAATTAGCTCCAAACCTAGGTGTTGATGATGTTTGGGCCAGCTCACTGTAAATCACGGTGTGGTTGCTTCATTGTATTCGCAACACCATTTCCCAAGAGCACTTGTTTTCACAAAAGCATTTCCCAAGAGCACCTGTTCTGTATCCAAATCGAGTGGTTGTGAATCAAGAGTCTGTACATGGTGCACCGGGATGGGCTGCTCACTTGGCCAGACAAGTGCAGATGGAACTCTCCAAACCTTACTAACCCTAGAAACAAAAGCAACAAACAACTGCTACAGCATCTATTTGTCAATTTGTTGTTCTGAACTCTTTCAGATACAACCCATCTTGCCATTATCGTTCGTATCTAGATTTCTACCACACCCTCCAAGGCCTCGAAGCGACCGAAGGCCTTCTCTCTGGGGCCAGGCAGACTGGAGAGACCTGGACCCGACTTCAAGTGAAGAAAATCGGACATGACATATCAGGCCTGACTGCACCCATTTTTCAGTTGGGTGCTTTCAGTTTGCGCAGCCAGCACCGCGCAGTAGCAATATGGTCCTTGTCTCCGCAGACATGTTCCGAATATCTGATGATGGCGCAGTAATGTAAATGTAGAATGTTGCCATCTATCTTCCTTTATGGGGGAAGGTCGATGCCCGTATGATGCAGGTCATACCATGCAGTGGCTTTGTTTGAGTGTCACCAAAGAGTATATACAACACGGTATTGTATATGAACACGAGACAACACATGTTGTTGGCCGAAGGAAGAGGCAGGCTGGACAGAAAGACCCATGATATAGAGAAGAACGTAGGGCAACCAGTTGATTCTTTGCACAAACATATTGAACCAACCAGAGTTTACAGAATTTGCTGTCATGTTGTCCCATGTTTGTTCTTCGCCGAAATAGTAAACACAAGACATGGGAACCAATAGGAATTGGAGATTGAACTTCATTTCTCATATTTTTGTTTATGCTGTCTACATTATATTATGTACGCAATTAACAGGAACATGTGTAGGCCAAAAAGAGGTTGGATAGCAGTTTGGAGATTTGGAGAGTGGGTCGTGAGGAAACCTCTCTGTCAACTCTTGCCTCGAGTGGAAATATAGAAGGAACCTACTAGCGATGGCCTCCAACCTAAGAGCAATGGCCTCCAACAGAGGAAGCGTCTCCAGCGATGGCCTTATTTTGCTATTATTCTGTCTTATGGAACATTGAACAACACATATATGCATATATGTAGAAGGTTGGTTGTGCCAGTATGCTCACATCCTCAGAATCAGTACAACAGCCAATAGCTCTCTCTTTTTGCATCACAGTGAGGTAAACTCAACGATTCTCGGTCCTCCCGGAAGCACCCGCCAGGAGCAATGAGCAAAGCCTGCAGGAGTTTGCGCTTGCCCGGACAAACAGACTGAGACTCGGTATCACTGGAGACCAATAGATGCCCTTTGACTCAACCAATTTGACCAGTGGTTGGTTGATTACAGTAGAGGGGACACCCCCAAGTGAACAACCAAGAGGTATGTCAGTACCTCGCATCGACCAGAAGGACACTGCTGCCGGCGGTTTGTTCGTCCCCCGTCGTCCGCCAGCGACGAAGCGAAGTGGAGCGTTCACGCAGGATCAGTTGAGCAGCTTAGAGCAGACGCTGGAGGAGCATCCAGCTTTGAAGGCTTTGTGAGATGTGATGTTTTGTGTTTGATGGGTTTTTTTTGTTGGCAGAATCTAGAGACATCATGAGGTTTGTGCTATCTACTCTGAAACCACTGTAGGTGGTTGGGAAGTGCCGCAATTGTTCAACAAACTCAGTGCTATGGCGTCTCTTTTCCGGGAAATGAGAGGAGCGAATTGAAGACTGCAGGTGTCTCTGAGATGTCCCCTGTTTAACACCAACTCAACCCAGCAGATTCAAGGATGGATGAGACACCTAGCGCCTGAACCCGGCCACTTGCAGGATAGAACCATGGTCACGTTTGGGTGATGGGTGCATGCACATGTGCGTTTCGCTTCACTATCACTCAGTTGATCTCCGTTGTCGTCCAATACCACGGGAGACTTCGGAGACTTCGTCCGCCGGCCTATCCGCCGTTGGGCAGGACCGGCAGCGGAGCGTCGTGAGGGACCTGGAACAATTGAAGACGGACTGCAGCAAGGAGCCACTCGGAGGAACGATGAGACGGACTGGAGGCACGACCGGTTTTTCTTTGTTTCCTCCCCCAACCAAAGGGGGCGAAGCTACAGTAATCATCCACATGTTTTTGAATCATGTGTCATGTGGACGCTTGATTAGTGGACCCCCCTTCATATCCACAGGATGTTTCACAACTATACTCTCTATATATGGGGGATAACTAATGAACGTAAGCATCAATGTGTTTACTATCGGTTCCTCAAGCAGTTCTTTTCATTGGACACTACCCGGTGGATTTCCCGGGCAGCCGGGCAGTGCCTCCTTCACTTCAGGGAGGTCGCAATGGACATGATCGACATTCGCGTATCACGCATGCCTTCCAACAGAGGTTAAGTGACCTTATAGGACCCTACAGGGGTACCTATAGGGTAGTCTATAGGGTTCTTCAACCTCTGTTGGTTATTTAGCAGGGTCTTTCGGGGGTTTGGGGGGGTCGGACGGCTTTTTCTCAGACACGACAACGCTTGGTTCCAACACCGAAGACCTCCTGACACCATGGTACCCTTTTGTCAAGAGCTTACAACCATTCATTGGCCTCCTGCACGGATGGAAACCCCAAAAAAGAAGAAGCCAGATGGCTATAGCCACCAGTGGCATAAAGAACACTCCACCAGTGGCATCCTGAAGCGTTTGTTTTACAGTTTCCCGAACCCTTTGGGCGGTGAAATATGGCGCTTTGCTTGACCAAAAACAGTCAAATGAGAATTATGTATACAATAGCAATAGTGTTTATGAAGGTAATGCCTTGTTAATGCCCAAGATTGCCCAAGCTATGGAGCAAACAAAAGTTGGCCCCAGTTCTGCTTCGGATGACCTCAGTTCTGCTTTGGATGGCCTCAGGTTTGCGTTTGCTCAGTCCACTTGGGCGAGAATCATTGATTGGCAGGCTCAGGCGGGGAAAAGAGGCGAATGAGACATGGATTTGGGCACCAGTTTTGCACTTCTCGCAGGTTATGCCGTAGCGCTCCAAATACCTCCTGAGAAGATGGGACTGGGGTGGGTGCCAGGAGGAATCAGGAAGGTCTTAGTACCTTCTGAAGCGGTAGTTGGAGGTACTTGGAGCCCTAGGTGACGATGCTTTAACTACTTTGCAGATTTTGCAGTACTTACATTACGTTATTATTTACATTGTTGTTTTGGTTGATTTTTATAGAGATGAACCTCCTTGCGTCTCCAGAAGTTCCTTCAAGAGTTGGGTGTCTCAAACTGGGGATTCACGGTATCAAGCCGGGTGCCTGAACGTGAAAAGACGACCGAGGATGCGGATCCATCTGGTTTGTACAGCGCGAATGAACCCCAAATCCGAAAGGACTTGGGAGATCTAAAAAATATCAGACAACTTATAGGTTCCCGGAAACTTTGCCGATTGACCTCGCAAGACTGTGAGACTGTAAGTAAGCTCCCAACAGCTCAAGGCTGGCAGCCTCTCATATCCTGAAATTGAAAAACCAAGTCCAGCATCTATACGCGAAAAGACTCCGAGTTGATCCCCACCTGTCAGGTGAGGGTTGTTAGATTTTACGTCAGCCCCATCTCCTCCTCCTCCTCCTTCTCCTTCTCCTCCGCGTCCTCCTCCTCCTCCTCCGCCTCCTCCGCCGGACCTCAACCACGACCATCCACGCCCAGTGTTCCCTGCCGGACCTCAACCACGACCATCCACGCCCAGTGTCCCCTGCCGGACCTCAACCACGACCATCCATGCCCAGTGTTCCCTGCCGGACCTCAACCACGACCATCCGCGCCCAGTGTTCCCTGCCGGACCTCAACTGCGAGCTCCAGGCCCAAGTGTTCCCTGCCGGACCTCAAACCGCAGCACACAGCCACAACCACAATCACAAACACATAACCACAAACACAACTACAAACACACAACTACAAACACAACCAGACACACACACAATCACAAACACATGCAAACACAACCACAAACACACAACCACAAACACATCTACAAACACAACCACAAACACACAACCACAAACACACAACCACAAACACAAAACAACAAGCACACAACCACAAACACACAACCACAAACGCAACCACAAACACACAACCTCAAACGCATCCACAACCACAACCACAACTACAAACACACAATCACGACCACTACCAGTACCACAAACACAATCACAAACACACAGCCACAAACACAATCACAAAAACACAGCCACAAACACAACCGCAAACACATCTACAAACACACAATCACAAACACACAGCCACAAACACACAGTCACAAACACAACCACAACACAGCACACAACCACAACCACAACGCACAACCACAACGACAACACAGCACACAACCACAAGCACAACACACAACCACAGCACACAACCCGAGGACCTACAAGCAAAATCGAGAACTACAACACTCACGACCATGGCAACATGCTCCTCACTATGGCATCAAGACAAATGATTGAAATGTCATGGTGGGGATCACTCGAAGTATTTATGTCCTCTTTGAAGGGACAGTCGGCCACTCGATGTGGTTCTTCGAATCACTTCGTTGCCATTTACTTTGACGCTGTGTCCGCCGGATGGTTCCCAGTCCTGGGACCTCAGCTGTTTGCCTCGCTCAGGTGGATGTCGCAACCTTGCAGCAGCATGGCAAGCTTGATCTCTCCAGGCAGGTTCGGACTCGCTCCGTCCCATGGTCCATTCCCTTGCGGCAACACGGACTCCGGTGGATCTGAAATCCGAAAGTGGGAAACATCGCGCGCCAGAGAACCCCCGAAGCAGGAGAGTTCCCTGCTCCCGCTCGAAGAATATCAGGTGAACAGAACCGGCCCACTCCCCGTCTGGAGGGCCAAGCTAGACTGGCAGACATGGATGCGCGGCAGGGCGTTTCTAGGGGGACCCCAAGCTGGTAAACCCCATATGCATCCGAGTTCTCTTCGACGAATGCGCGTGGCTGAGTCCAAAGTTCTCTGCCGCGGGGCTGGAGAATTTGGTGCTCCACTTGAGGCTGCAGGCCGGATCTCATTGAGGCTGTGGATGGATGTGTTCTCATGCCGACTCCAATGGTCACCACCCTCAGCAAAAACAAGGGAACTCAACGGCGTGTTTACAGGGAGAGAATAAGGAATTCAGATTCATGTTTTCTATTGCCAGCGTGTAAAGCAATGTAGCACATGTGTCTCTCTTGGAGGATGTCGCAGCCAAAATGTTGCCCTCGATAGATAGATATGCCTTTCGTTTGGGGGACGGGTTGAATGATGGACAACGGAGTTTTTTTTCTGCTGTGGGCCCTGTGAGCTGTGGGGTAAGGGGTTGAAAAGAAAACATGATGATCAATGATGATCCTCATTTTCCCACAGGTGGACTATGTATACAGCAAATCTTTCATGCGAGCCAGTCCTTGTTGAATCTGATACCAGACCGCAACACAGATGGTTCGATCTGTGTATCTTCACAAGAAAAAGAGCCTCATATAGAAGCAGGTCCCAAACCCATGACGTGTGTGGGGAGTGTTCCGTCACCGAGGCAAAGGGTCGTAGGTCCACGTGAGCTGTGCGACGTACTGCAGCCATTGGCTTGACAGCGAAGACGACAGAGATGGAGCAGGCGTACCCGACGGGTGTCAACGGCGGGAGGCAGGTCTCAAACCCATGACTGGTGGTATAGAAGCGAAAGCAGTTTGCCCAAGGTGTCTTTGATGTCACTTTTGGGTTGTGGAGAGATTCCTTCCCCCGATTTTCAGATTTTGCAAAGGACCTTTGGCAAGGGGCCTAAAAACATGCATTTGATTGCATTATATTGCATAATATATGAATCAATGATCATATAATGTTTTAGTCAAAAAAATCTGAGCAGCCCTCTCAATACATCTCAATACCATCTGAAAAAAAAAGAAAACAATCAAATACGACAGGTGAGTCAAGCGACTCGTCCCCAAGAGAATTTTCTTTGGCAGCTTCGCTCCAAGACTCGGTCCGGACGCACCGGACCGAGCAAGGAGTCAGCGTGTCCAGGTGCTTCCATGGCTGCGGGAGTCAGTAGCGCCTCACTGCAACTTGGCGATGTTGGTCAAGTTCGCCGGTGGAGCGAACGTGAGGGTCGCCAACTGCTTCCTCTTCGCATGCTTATCTTCACAAGGGTGGCCAATTCCTGAGGTCGGGAATTTTGCGGGCTGATAAGGTACCAATCTGCTGATTAGGTACATGGGACTTTTGACATCTTTTGACATCATGTAGGATCATGTATGAGTCCCACCCTTGATCGCACCCGTCTCGTTCAGGATCCATGGGATCATGGTACTTCAGTCAGTGGATCGCACCCAACACCAACACCAACGCCGCCGGGAGGTCCACAGTCCAGATCGTTCCTCGTCGTCGCCCTCGGTCTCGGAACCCGAAGCAAGCGGCCAAATCTTTGGACAACGAGAGCGGCCATTGCTGCGCAGGTCTCACAGGGTTCCTGAAGAAGTTGGCACGAAGCCATGGCAGCGAGGAGGCGTTGGACAAAGAAAACGGCGCGAAACGTGACGAAACGCGACGGCATGACTCGGTAGAGTGGTGTGGCTGTGGGCACCTGAGAAAGATGGATTTGCGTGAACGAAAGTGACAAAGATGACATAGCCTTCGCTTGCAACGGCTACAGACTGACGGCTGCCAAGTGCGCGGACATCAGCCATTGCAAGAACCAGTCCGATTAAATGGTTCCTTTTGACTCTTCAGAGATGGACATGATTTGTTTGTATAGGGAACGCATGGGACAGTCCAGACGGGCTGTCAACAACCTATTGCAGGTCCCTAAAGTACCGGTGAAGATGGTTTTTGAATTTGTTCGTTTACACAGACATGGGACTTCAGAGTGCACACTGCTCTTGGACTGGACTTCCATTCGATTCACCCGGTTCTCCAGGCGTGCCGCCTCTTGGGAGCCCTGCAGGAGCGTCGTGGATCGGTGAGAAGCGCCAGACTCCTCCGGTTCGGGTCGGTCGGGGGTGAGGCAAAACAAAGGCGTTGGGGCTCCAGGTGCTGCCTTTGGGATCTACTAGAGTTCCTACTAGATATTTGCCAGTTGCAAAAAGCAAATGCATGGGTCATGGGTGTGTCATAAACCGAGATGCTGATGTTGAGAACATGTCGTTTCAAGAGAAACACGGAGTCTCCCTCAGTGAGGAGAATCGGTCCCTGGGTTTGGAGGCTGCGAATATTTCGCCCCTCCATATTGATTCCACATGTGGAGTTCTATTCATCAACAGTCCGACGACTTCCAACTTATATTATGATTGGACCTTTTCCTTCAACGCCCCCCAAGAAAGAGAGAACCTCTCCACTGTAGGGTACTTATTGGACCCAGGCAGAAACTCGTCCAAACGCCGAGTTTCTCGGGGATTCCCATCGACCGTTCTGGAATCCTTGGAAATTGACTGGACAGGTCGTTTTCTCGGTGAAATTGCCTGGGTGGGTTCGTCAGGATGGTGCAAGACCTACCCAGACACTCGACACTCCATATATGGAATACTGTAATAGACTGATGTCTACATTTAGGTGGCTTCATTGGGGCATATATACCGATGGAGTGTTTGGGCTATAGTTGTTTGTATTTTTCTTTGCTATGAATCCTTGGAGGGAGAGATCCACAATCGGATTGATTGAAATATATTGAAATGCTTTTCGGGAGTCTGCTGGGGATCTCCATCTATTTGAGGCAGGGACTCCAACATAGATGAAACCTACCGAGGGTTCTGGAGGGGCCTGTTGACTTTTCAATGGGCACAGGGATGCCACGGTGTGCTGAGTGCTTGTGAATGTCTCCACCCAAGATCAATGTTATTTATGTTGCTTCCTCTGGTGTTCAGTGTGCAGCGTGCAGACACTTTGAATCAATGCCCATTCGTTGAACAAACTGTGCGGTGCTTAGGCCGCTGTTTAGGGTGAGATTCCCCGTGGGACTTGAGCCACACACCATAATGTGGCGCCGAAGATGAAGGTGACAATAGTACAGATGAACTTGATGAAGCTGTGAGATTATGAAAAGAATGACGGTGGTGATGATGATGATGATGAAGGTGGTGATGATGATGACGGTGATGACGGTGATGAGGATGATGATGATGATGATGATGATGATGATGATGATGATGATGACCACATTAATATCAGCATCGTCATTACTATTATCACTATCCTCGTTCTTTTTGCCATCACCCTCATCACCGTTATCAACAACATCATCTCCTCGCCATCATCACCTCCATCATGCTGCTTGCTATCATCCTTGTCATCACCGTCATCTTCACCAATCTTCACCATCAAGCGGCTTTCTCGGATGACCGAAGACCCGATGTGTGCAATGCGGCTGAAAGAAGGAGGCTCTCACCCCTATGATTTGCCCTAGTGAAGAGCACCTGTTTGTTAACCCGGAAACGCCCGGAACCGTTGTCAAGGCACCTTCGATCGATCGAGGGTGCTTTTGCAGTTTCGGTCTCATGCTTGATGAGACGTTCAAAGATTGATTTCGTGCCGCTGGTCATGTCCTTGGCCTTGGAAAGCTGAGGATTGGAAACCAACGTCATTCACTACTCATGCGTGACCAGCTCAGCAGCGATCTTTGGTTTCGGAAGCCGGCACAGGGGAGAGGACTCTCTTGTTGCCGATGCTGACAAGGGCGCGTTGATGTTTCCTCCAAACAACACTGACACTGGTTTGGTAAATGTCGATGGAGTCCAAAAATGTCAGAAAAGTGGGACACTGGGGATATCTGGGGATCATTTCCAGGTGCTTGCAAGGGGTACTCTCATTTCCCGGGCTTCTGCGCTCTGGAAAGTAGTGTTCAGGTGATGTCCGCCTGCGATGCTGAGAGAAATTGGCCCTTGGCACTCCAATTGAGCCTTGTCCTGTGGGAAAATGTCAAGATGACAGGAGTGAGTCTCACACATTCATCAACTCAGCAATCACTCTGTGCTTCGTTCTCTCACCTTAATTACTCTCTAGCAGCGCAGCTGGTAGCTCCAACAAAAGTGTTGCACAGGTTTTCACATGTTTTCACATGATCAGTCTGAACTATCATAAGACAATCAGGATCACTTTGACATCTTGTGTTCATGTTCATGTTTGACCCTTGGACGCCTTGGACTTGTTGTTTCTTCGGTGCCTCGATCCGGTCCATTCCTTCTGGGCAAAAAGACCGTTGTTTGCGCGACATCTCCAGCCATCCCCTCGTCTTCTCCACCGCGAAAACGCGGTGTCACCGTGATGTTTTTCGGCACCACGGTCCAAGGCTTCAAGAGATGAGTCAAGGAGAACTGCAAGCAGATGTCCTGGTCTACAATCATGCTGCACATGCAGTGAGCAGCTTCTGGATTGGAGGAGGGAAGATTTGTGGGAAGACACAGTTTAAGTCCTTCCATGTTTTGCGGGTTGCACTTGGAGATAGGGGAATCCGAAGTGAAAGCATGGGTACTTCCACCCGCAAAACCATGGGAATTGTCCGAATGGTGCAGCGAAACCCATTGATTTGGTTTCTCGGGGAAACTTCCAGGAAGTTTCTGACTTCAGACGACAATGTGGGAAGTTATGTGCTGCAAGCTGGTTTGCCTTGTGGTTGCGGCACACGAGCGCAAGAATTAGTAGAGGTTGCAAGATTCTGAATGTTGGAACGCAAATGCATGCAGTTTTGACAATTTTGCATTGCAAAGCAACCATTTTCAGGACAAATCTTGTAAAAATACTGGGAGCCAGGGCAAGCAGTCAACTGACAAGAAACAATATGATGCAGCAGTACTCGACACTCTATGAACACTTCCATATTGATATATTAAATATTATGCATTTGTATAACAAGTTTCGTTGTATACCATGCCATGCACATGCAAACAGTATAAACATCTAAATGGTTGCTACAACGTTGATGAAAGAAATCCTTTTGGATCCCTCGATCACCGTATGTATCGTAGTTGTCCCTGTCCTAAGTGGTAGAGCAGCTAGAGGTTTTCCTTTCTTCACCCGCATTTTGTGGATGGGCCTTCATGGAGCGTTGATACGATAAACAGGGAAATAGATATCCAAAAAGTTTGACCTCTTGATGTCGGTGCTTTTTGATTCCTTTCCGGAGTTAGCTGCCACTACGTTGCTACAGTTAACTCTGTTTCATATGTTTTGCAGATTGGTTTAGGCTTTGCTTTTGCATGGTTTAGACCTGGCTTTAGCAGATTGGTTTTGACCTGGGTGTTGGTTTGTTTCCCACCTCTAACAAGCGACCAAAACCATTCCTGCGAGTTTGGCCGTTTGGATTGTTTGTTGGAAACAAAGGAAAGTACAACAGGAATCGGAATTGTTTTACTGAAAAGGTAACAACCGTAAATCCAAAACCTCCGCTGACACCAACAATCTCAGGTCCAGTTGTGCAAAAGCGTCTGGAATTTAGAACAGTTTTGGAAATCTATATAACCCCGAACCCCGTGGTTAGAAAACAATACCCACAACTCAGCCGTGAAGGTCTGAAAAATGGACACATTTTCAATGTAGACCCTGTGCACATGAGCATTGTAGACATTGAGGATCTAAGCTTGAAAAATTGGTGCTGTGGATTTTTTATATAGTGAGTCTTTCTTGTTCTTTTTTGTTCGAGAAACCAAATCTTGATGGAATGTGAACAGACATGCTGCATCTCGCAAACGCGGCCATATTGAGAAACAAAAAATTGCTTGTACGGTTTTCCAGGACTATATGTTTTTGGAGTTACTACAGTGAAGTCTGGAATCAAGTCTTGAAATCTAAGCTAGATTAAGCCTTGCGCGAAAGGAGACGTAAATGGTGGCTGTCAACAATAATTCAAGAAAACAATGCGCGGAGTACGAACAATAAGATCAAGATCAATTTGCAAGACCTTAGTTCAGCGAAGACATTTTGGCACAAAACTTTTGGATCAATGACGCATCCTCAATGATGGACGGCATAAATCTACCCAGATTCTGCTTTTGGGATTTTCTAGGCATTTTTGTTGACGGATCTCTCTCATTTTCTAACGGGCAAGGACCATCGTGGTTTCACCCCTGCGTCAAAGGCTGAAAGCACTGCTTGCCAATGCAACTTTTAGAACTAGACCTCTGTAAACATACCTCAGCATACAACGAAAGATAAGCTTGTGGGGGCCAGAGTTCCAAAATTTCATGAACCCAAGTCCATATCACGTAAGCAAGGTCTAGGATCATTTGACCTTTGAGTCAAAGGCAGAAAGAACTGTTGCCTATTGCAGCTTTTTGAACTAGACCTTTGTAGACATATCCTGGCATACTAAGAAAGATAAGCTTGTCGTAACCAGAGTTTCAAGATGACATGAAACCAAGATCCCCATTGGAGATGTCACTCGGACTGGGCACAAGCTTTTCAGCCAGAAAACCGGGATGGAAACCTAGGAAACATATTCTCTGGGCAAATTAAGGCGAGCTCACCTGACGAGGTACGAGGTAGAATAATATCGAAACGAAAATAAGCGAGGTAAGTCCAGCAACAGCAGCAGCACAAAGCTTTTGAGCTTGTAAGGGCCACTGCTGGGCATAGCTTCCAGGAGCTACTGGGACTCCACTCACCATGCCACACAGAAGCCCCAAGAATACCAAAAACAAAAAAAACACCTATTTTTAAGAAATAGGCCCGATTTTGACCCAAGCATGCTTGAAGGAATTGGGGCTTGTAGAGGCCACTGTTGGGTGTAGTTTCCAGGATCTACACGGGATCCACTCACCATGGCACACAGAAGCCCCAAGAATACCAAAAACCAAAAAACAACCTATTTTTAAGAAATAGGCCCGATTTTTGTCCCAAGCATGCTTGAAGGCATGCTTGAAGGGATTGGGGCTTGTAGAGGCCACTGTTGGGTGCAGTTTCCAGGAGCTACAGGGATTCTTCCACCCATGCAGGGCAGAGAGCCCCAAGAATCCCAAAGACAAAAAACAACCTATTGTCAAGAAATAGGCCCGATTACCAGTTTGGATGTGCAGGAAGCCATGGCAGGCATTCAGCCCCCCCCCAACAAATGCAGACGAGGTGAATGAAATTATTGAAATTAAACGAGGCGAGGTGAATAATTTCAAAACATGAAATTAAGACGAGGTACGAGGTGAACGAAATTAATGAAACTAATTTAATTCACTCAGATATTCTAAACATTTCAAAACTTAGCTGGATGAAAACTTTGACCGGGAGATCGGAGGTATGGGCATAGGCGCTTCCTAGATGGGACAGAACACCATCAAACAGACAGATAAGAAGACATAAAGAAATTTATCGGGACCTTCTACACTGGGACCCCATGCAGGCGATGGGGGTTTTTATGGCTTCTACACTGGGAGATGGGTTTTGGTAAGCCTAATTAAGCATGCGTCCTTCCTCCTAGTGCGATGCCAGGAGCCCCTAGTACCGTCCTTGCTCCTAGTGCGATGCCAGGAGCCCCTATATAGTGTTCTTCATGTCCACATGCTCGGCAGCGGCCTTGCAAAAGCGACTGGCCTTCATGTCCGAATGAGGTTCCAGCTGGCAACTGTCCGTGGAGGTGTTGGAGCGCGCCCGGGTCTCAGTGTAGGCCGTAGGCCTCTGATTTTCTGTAGGCACCATGCCTCAGTAGGTTAGCATGTTGCAGGTTGATTGTCAGATAATTCGCTTACAATTGCCAACCCCAAAAGAGGCAGTATTCTTGTTGATTGTTTCCTGGGCCCTCAAACAGCAATCATGACCCAAAAGCTATAAAACCAAGCAACACAAGCAAGGATATGGCCCTTTGCAGCTTTTGTTCAGTGCCAACGTGATCACACCAGTCTTGCCTCGTCTACAAGACTTCAACGATCTTCAACGACAAAACGCAGAGATCGAAGAAAAAGGCATCTGGCCTTCATTGCCCAAGGTTGCCACCCTATTATTTTGCCAAGGTGGCGCAGTAATCTTGCCCACCAGAAAAAGAACCGTCCCTTGGAAGTCTTAAACCCAGAAATGGTTCAATGTTGCAAGGTTCAACCTGGCCCCTTTGGGGGGGTTGTGAGCAAGCACAATATAGATGATACCTTATCCTGGCCTGAGACTTTAGCCTGGCTAGTGCGACCACCGACGTAGCCAATGCAGGCACTTCAGGCTAATGCCTGTGATGAAAAGACCTTTGGCATTATATTGGCTGCAGCTCCGCGCAGTGAACAATGGCTGGAACGGATGGAACGAGAAAGGCCAGAAGGGGCTGGCATGTGAACTGTTGATGAAGGTTTTGTCCCGAGCCGGTTGAGTAAAACTGGAACATTCCCCCCATTCAATCCAAACGACAGCAAAGGAAACACAAGCGCCATTTGATCCCATTTGTCGTAGTCTGTTATATCCGCACAGATGTCAAGGGTGTTTGCTGATGGCAGGATTTGGCCTAATACCATTTGCTACAATGCGGCAATAAGTTCGTGTTGCTTGCTTCGCACCATATTGGACATGGGCGGCCGGGCATGTTTTCACCAACCAATGCAACACATGTCCTTGGTGTACCTAGTGCATTATGATTCATTGTGTTTGCCCAAACTGCATCATTTTGCGGTGTCATTGTTTTCTTTGGTGTTTGTGCATGCAGGGTATCTAAGCCAATAGGTTTCTTCGTAACTGGAAGTTTGCACACATGGCCGATGTTGAAAAGGACATTCACATAAACTCGGAGTGATATGATAACATGTTTTGGATTTACAGTGGTTTGCGTTTGCGCCTTGGCTTATTCATGTTTGTTCTAAAGGTTGCCGAATCTTTCATGAGGTTCCGATTGGCCGACTGCTTTGCAGCTCTTCTCCTCCATGCAGTCAAAGAATGTGCAGCCAGATTTGCGCACCTGCAACGGCGCCTTGTGTCGTTCAAGGGAGGCTGCGGATGTGAGGGCAAAAAGATGCAAAAAGAGTATATACTGTATTTGGATCGATGGTGGGTCGAGAGAACCATTTCAGAAATAGCCGGCAGGACTTTTGATTTTGTTTTTCGTGACTTCTGTCTGGATCCTTAAGCAGGACTCACTTGGGGCTCAACTCCCAAGTGATGGTTTATGTAGGTTTTCCTGGAGATCCAATTTCACCAGTGGTCAAGTGAATCGTGGAGCTGTGCCCCAATTGCAGTTTTGGTTCCAGACATCCGTCGAATTAACTTTCCCATGATTTGCAGGCCTTTTTGGGGGGTGATAGGAACCTTGCAGGGCAGGTGGTGTTGCTAGGTGTCCTCTTCCGCAAGATGAAGAAACCCACAACTCCCTTGGTCCAGCGCTTTGCACCAAAAATCAAGTCAAGAGAAACAAGTTCCTAGCATCGACACAACAAATTTTATACTCAATCCATCTCAAACCCAAAGTCCACCTGCTTGGAGAGAAGGTACTTAAAGGTCAGAATGAATTCCACACTTTCTCATGTTTAGCTATCATACCGTAAATGTTCAGGATTTGGCTGGAGCCTCAAACACAAAAAACAGCATGTGGCCACCTAAACCAATTTGGGCCTCCAGATCGGCAATCTCTATATGTTATCCATGCGAACCTTTGACCAACCGAACACACCGAGCGAGATCTCGAGGTCTTCTGTCGAAGGTGCCCAGTCGAACGGCGGTGAACTTCTTCGAAGCTGGGCCGAGAAGCGAAAGGGAACCCCTCTTCTCAGGGCGTCTCAAGTCCAGGTCCAGGACCATCCTGGAGCTGGGTGTTCTGGCTGGAGATGCTTAAGCAGTGTAGGGTAGTGCTTCGGGGGCCCAGACAGGATGGTCCTGGACTCTAATTGGGCAAGATGCGAAATTGTCCAAGTACCGTATGACTGCGATCCAAGCACGGGAGGCTTCTTTTGAGGCTTCTGCACGGGCCAAAGGCTGGCAAAAGATCAGTCACACGGTTTTGGAGCTCATGAGAAAATCGTGCCAGAATAATTTTGCCCTCAGATTTATAAACCCCCCTAGAATTATGTCTTTTTTTTCCCTGCACTGATTTATAAAGGCCCCTAGAATAATGTATTTTTTTTTTTGGAGGGGTAGTTGTAGTGGATTTTTTTTTATTGTTATAGTTTACTTTTTCCCTTTTGAATTTGCTGGGATTTGCTTATCTTACAGGCTTTTGGATTGAGATTTCTATTATATAAGCATTTGGAGATGTCCATTGAGATTTGATTCTTTTGGAGGCTTTTGGATGGAGATTTCTATTCAAAAATTTGAGATTTCCATTGAGATTTGATGCTTTTGGAGGCTTTTGGATCCCTTATTTAAAAGTATTAAACAAACAAAAAAAA